AGATCTTATATTTGTTTATAGTGTAAGAAGCAAATCTGTTAAAGACTGGATGATTTACGAGGAAAAAAAACTTCTAGGTAGCATTATTGCTCATAATTAAGTAAACACAAGCGGTATATCATAGAAATATTGAACACTTACTAGGCGAATACAGTATAGTTACAGTTACTTCATCACATCATATATTTCGCAATAATTTATCCACTGTCATTTTTGCCAAAGCTTCCTTTCACAGATATTGAATCAATTTTAATTACCTGTAGAAAACATAGTCTTATAGAGAAACTAGTCGTACTTTTTACTGTTGCACCTGCCTAGAAGTATAATAGATAAATTGTTGTTTAAACCAGGTACCTTTCTAATTTTAATACATTTTGTATATATGCTAAAACCTGCTTATGAAGCAGATCAACAATCAGAAGGCTCATCACAAACTATGCCCGAGAAACACAAAAACATTTCAACAGATCAACAGCAAGAAAAAGTGAAAAAGGTAGTACCGGAAGCTGGTAAGCATAGAGTGATTGGTTTGATCTCGTTTATAGTTCAGTTGGAGCAGCAATTTATCAAAATTTAGGTTATGCTTTTATGGTAGCATTTTATAAGTTATAAATTCGATCTTAAGTTATAATAACTAAATAGCATTTCTACTATACTCCGTATGAAATCAATCCGTGTATTACTTTACGTAAAAATTGATGTAGTTATCTTACAGTATTGCATTAAGTTTTGTTTTAGTACGATAAAGTTTCAACAAGTATCAATTACTGATAGCTTACTAAGCTTACTACAAATGCTAAGAGTCTTCATAATTATGTAATGTAAAAACAGATTAATACCAAATACTTTTTAAGCTTGTTTATCTATAAGGATTATATCATTAATATACTGATGTGATACTATACAAGCATCTAACAAGTTAAGACGTGTCATAGCGAAGACCGAATGTTCTGCACAGTTTATTGGATGCTATTTGTAATGCAAAATGTCGCTATAGTTATATCGATA